TACTAGTGGAGAAGGTACAGTTCTTGACTAAATCAATCAACTTGGACCACCTAGACATAGTGAGCTCATCCAAGGTGCAAAATTTTCCCATCCCAGACTTGAGCAATTGTACCATCTTGTTGCTATCAGATCTCAAAGAGATCCCAAAACAGGGTTTTAAGGGAGCATTCTTTTGCCGATTTGTTGGTTTTCATTTTTCTTTTGTCAGACTGTTGGTTTTGGCTGTGTGCATCTTAGCGATGCAGAGACCGGGTGTTGATCATCATGAGTTGTATCTACTTGATGCTGCTGTTTCAGTTAATAAAAGGGCCCTTAATATTTAAGAAAATGTGTGTTATGTTTATCCGTATTGCCCAAAATGATTTTTTTTTTGCCGTGTTGCATTCTTTTTAACAAAAAATATGGCTACGTGTATCCGCACTGAAAATGCTTACACCGGAAATAATCTGCATATATACAGAGTAAATAAATGATAAAGTCCTAACCTGCAGACATAAGAGCTAGTAGTACATGCCTGTAATTCCTCAAGTTGTTGCCTATAAATATGCTTTGGACTGCATCGCGGAGGGTTATCCCAAAGCCGAAAGGTGAGGCTTGAGACACTTAGATCTCTCATGGCTCGTGCCAGTATTCGTCTCCCACCTTTTCTCTTGCTCCTCGCAGCAACTTGTGCCGCGGTAGCGAACGCGCAGCTGTCGGAGGACTACTACGGTTCTTCTTGCCCCGCGGCGCTTCTCACCATCAGGACAACCGTGGCGACGGCGGTGCTGCTCGACCGCCGCATGGGCGCCTCCCTTCTCCGGCTTTACTTCCACGACTGCTTTGTGCAAGCAAGTCCTCAAGATCTTCCTCTGCTATTCCCTTGGTCCTCTTTCAATATTGTAGTGAACTTGTTTGATGGTGGATGCATGTCTGTACCTGTACGCTAGGGGTGCGACGCGTCCGTGCTGCTCGACGACACGCCCAGCTTCACCGGTGAGAAGGGGGCGGGGCCGAACGCAGGGTCGCTGCGCGGCTTCGAGGTGATTGACAGGATCAAGCTGCTGCTGGAGCTGATTTGCCCGGGGACCGTCTCCTGCGCCGACATCCTCGCCGTCGCTGCCCGCGACGCCGTCGTCCACGTAAGCTAAAGCCTAAATTTACAGCTCTCTATTAGTACCTTCTCGCGCTTGAGTGAAAGAAAATACCGGTCGTTCCATGGGCGGAATGGAAGTACATGTAGCAAGTGACAATGAGTACTCCTGCGCAGCTAGGGGGGCCATCATGGACGGTTCTACTTGGGAGGAGGGACGCCACCAGCGCAAGTGCGTCCTTGGCCAACAGTGACCTCCCCGGCCCCAACTCCAACCTCAATGATCTCCTCGCCGCTTTCTCCAAGAAGGGATTAAGCAGCACCGACATGGTTGCTCTCTCAGGTAAAATGCGCTGCCTTGCCTGCACACAGCTGATAGCCATGATACTACTAGACAAATTACCCGGAGACATGCATGCATTGATAGATCACATACAAGAGTCAGTGACACTGTTAGATTGGGAAGCATGTCCGGCATACAACCAAGTGCGCTGCGCACGTATGCATGGCTAGCTATACGATACATGTAGGCTTTTTTGTTCCATTATGACTCCTTTTTCTCAAAAGACTTGGCTGCTTCGTCTGGTCTACCTACCTAGTTAATGATGGAGTTGTGCATCCATCACTGACCATAGCAACGGCCAACTGACACGCCAGCGTTTTGCCTGCGTCCCCTGAATTTAACATGGTGATCGATGACTCTCGTCCCTGCGCTTGTCACTACCTTTCCTTTTGCCGACCAGACAAGGCTTGCACGAGCCATCAATCACCTTTTTGCTTGAGAACCTGATCGTCACTCGAGCGGTCACTCAGGCCCAACAACCTCATAATTCATTCACCACCATGCCCTGCTCCAAATTCAAAAGAAGAAAATCACCACGCAATCATGTTCTCTATCACAACGTACTACCCCTACATTGGAAAGCGAAATGCGAGAGCGACGCGTCGATAGATCTCCGGTGCAGCTCTGTCGATAATGCCTCGACCGATCGATCACCACGTGAATCCACATTGCTGCAGGGGGGCACACCATCGGCCGGGCGCAATGCCAGAGTTACCGAAACCGGATCTACGCCGACACCGACATCGACGGGACCTTCGCGGCGTCGCTGCGAGGGGACTGCCCACAGGGCGGTGGCAACGACGGCAACCTCGCGCCTCTCGACGCCTCCTCGCCCGACTACTTCGACAACAGCTACTTCTCCGGCCTCCTCACCCATATGGGGCTGCTCCACTCCGACCAGGCGCTGTACGACGGCGGCTCCACGGACGGTCTGGTCAGGAGCTACGCGTCCAACAATGATCAGTTCGGCAGCGACTTCGCGGCCGCCATGGTGAAGTTGGGCAATCTCGGTGTGCTCACGGGGGCGTACGGGGAGATCAGGGTCAACTGCCGGGCGGTAAATTGACGATAGATCCTGGGTATCTATCTTACAAAATGAACTTTGGCCGGTTCGGAAACGGGAAGTGAGACTGCGTCTTTATGTACACCATCTACTGGAATTAAATGCATTTGTTAATCCTAATTCTTGCGCACAAGTATCAAGTTAATCCTAATTCTTTTTACAAGCCAAATTCCAGTACAACCGCATCCACATGGAACTACTGCATCTACGGACGGTCTGGAAGTGAGACAGTGTCAAGACTAGAAAAACGCCCGTGCGTTGCAACGGGGTCACATTAAATTTAAGAGTTCAATATCAATTATATTAATATTACATTTAATATTCTCATACATATTAAGTGATATTGATGACCCTTTTTACCATCAAATTCTCACACACGCACCCTCTCCCTCCCTCTTCCTCACTCTCTCTCCCTCTCTCCCCCTCTCTCTCTAACACACACATATCCATCTTATCACTTCTGCCTCGGTACACCCTCCTTAAACACATCAAGGGCTGAGATCTGCCCATACCCCTTCGCTGTCAGGGGCATGATCGTCTTATGTAAAAAATCCCCCCGCGCGTCCACGCCGATACCCCCACGCGCCTGTGTATACGGGGCTGCCGCACGAGCCGAGCCGCTTGGCAGCCGTGAGGACGCGAGCCGAGCCGAGCCGTTAGCATCCATGGGCCCACAATGTCAGATGCATGGCGTGTCGGTGGGGGCGTACGTGTGGTCGTGGCGCGGTCGTGCAGTTAACTGCGCACTAATTGCGGCGCTGACTGCTCGCGGCCGATCTCCTGCCGCCAGCCTTCTGTCGTCGTAGTCCGTGCCCTCCATTGCCATGCGTGCGGCGACCGGGCGCCTTCCGCCTCGGGCCGGCAGTTGACGCGACCGGTCGGCTGCCGCCGCTGCGGCGACCGCCCGCCCGCCTTCAGACGCCACCAACGATTCGATTGCCGCGCGTGTCGCCATCCCCGCGCCTTCACACGCCACCGCTGCCGCGTCCGGACGCCACCGATGCCTCGCCTGCCGCGCCGCGCCTTCACACGCCGCCGCTGCCTCGCTTTCACACGCCACCGCTGTCGCGCGTGCCGCCAGCTGCCCGCCTCTCCCTCGTGGCGCGCGCCACCGACGGCTCGCCCGCCCACCTCCCTCCCCCGCCGTCTATAAAAGGTCGCGCCAGCCCTGACCAGGCCGTGCCATCTCCCTCGCCCCGTCCATCTCTCTTCCTCTCCTCGTCCGCCCATCTCCCTCTCCTCGCCGGCAATGTCTTCCAGCGACTCCGACGAGGGCGCGTGGCCGACCGGCGTTTGGCCGCTGAGCCTCACCGTCGGCGACACGGAGGATCTGGCCCGGTACAGCGTGATGGTGTCGTCGGCAGCCAAAGTGCCGTGGCCATGGCGGATCGGGGCGGACGGCATCCCCACCATGGGACCGCCGACGATGAGGCAGCAGCTCCACGCGTTCCCTGGCGGCCGGTACAACCGGAGGGCCCGGCGCAGGTTCTGGCGCGGGAAGAACTTCGACATCGTCCTCGGCGCGTTCAGGGATGCGGCGGCCGGCCGCACCGTCGGGGACATTACCGGCGAGGCCGGCACTTCCCGTGCTCGCCACCGCCACGGCCCACCTCCAGCGGCCCCCACTGCCCCGGCACAGCAGGCGCCCCCTGACCCGGCGCTGGTCGAGATCCCGCTGGCGCAGGCCGTCCTCGCGCAAGACGGAGACCCCGACGACACGCCGGGGCTACTTGCGGTGCTGGCCCAGTCGGCAGAGGAGGCGGCAGCGGCGGCCACTCGTGAGGAACGAGAGCGGCTGGCGGCCATAGCGGCGATGCAGGAGCAGTAGGCGCGGGAAGACAACTAGTGGGATTTCAGCGACGACGACGGCGACGGTGGCGACGATGGCGGCGACGGCGGCGAAGGAGAGGCCGGCGGTATGGCGCCGGTCGTCGACCTCACCGGCGCCAGCGACGACGAGTAGTCTAGTTTTAGGGGTTTTATTTAAATTTTGGTCTATGTTATGTAAGAGCAGTGCTCAGTTATGTTTAGTGTTATGTAAGGTAGTTTGAAGTATGAATGAACTCGGAATGGCTTATCTGAAGAAAAAAAACCGTATGTTTAATTTGATGTTAGTCGTGCAACTTCAAAAAATAAACGGAAACATGCATTTGAACGTTACGAGAAAAATCAGTCGCAAAACGCATGCATGGGGCCTTCACTCATACTCGAACGGTCTCTGGAGAACTTATCATACATGCACACCAAAAACATATTGCGTCACGTCCGGGGTGTGGTATGTGGTGTTATCACCAAAAAATTAGAAAAAAATTCTTAAAGCAAAAAAAATGCCCGGCATGTGCTCGCAGGCCACAACTGCACTTAATCGGTCCGGCCCGATCAAGCCGGGCGGCGAAAGGGCCGGCCTTTCGGCCCAGCTATGGCCTACAGCACAGGCAAACGGGGCAGTGGCGGGACGAGGCGGGAATCAGAGGAGTTCGAAAGTGTTGTGGAAGGCAGGTATTTAAGGCGGTCGTGGCGTCGCTCGGCGGGCGAGGTGGGACTAAACTTTAGTCCTCACCCCCGCCGACCCTGCCCCCCCACCCCGCACCGCGCCCACAGTGTCACGCACAGCCCACGCGCGGCCCACGCGCGGCGTCGCGCACAGTCACTGGGCCGTCACGCACAGTCAACACTTTTGTTTTTTTAAATAGTATTAAGTTTTTTAGTTATTTATGTCATTCGTTAACTAGACTTATTATAATAATAATGAGTTCTTTATTATACTTTATAGGAAAAAATAATAAGTTCTTTATAATTAATTACTAAAACAATACTGAGTTTTTTGATAATTAATTGATAATGAGTACTTTTATAATGAATATTATGTTCAGTTATTTGTGTAAATTAGTAATTACATTTTTAATATTTATGTAATGTTAATTAATGTCTAAAAAAACTTAAAATATGTGCAAAGTTTAGTACTGTAATGTGTATTGCATTAATGACAGCAGTAACACACTCATATAAATATATCATGTTTCACACATAATAATAGAAATCGCGTGTCTCATAACATCGAACAAGGTGGCATAAAGATTAACTCAAAGTGCCATGTCTCCAATCCTTAAACAAATAAACTGAAAGTGACAGTGCCTTCCATCGAACAAGGTGGCTTAAAGAATAAACTCAAAGTGCCATGTCTCTTATCCTTAAACAAATAAATGGAAATTACGAGTGCCTTCAATTGATTATGAATACTTCATCTTTATGTCCGGTTCTTACATAACAAATTGTAAACAACTCATCAGACAATTGTAAAGAGAGAATCCAAAAAATAATTAAAATAACGTAAAACTTACTTTTCATTCTCAGCGCACGTTTGCCGTCTATGGCCCTCTTTCTTACAAATGCCACAAAGAGGACCGGGTTTTTTCTCAGAAAATGATTTTGGTCTTCCATTTTTGTAACATTTGGATCTTTCTTTGCCCGCCCTGTCGTGCTCTGTTTAGGGGCGCCCTTCGTGGAAACTTTCACGGGATCACCTATGACATCAACATGTTGTTCCGGCTGACGTGGCTCCTCATGCACATTTCTTCTACTACCAACAGCATCATTATCAGGGATCTTTTTCTTTGTTATTATATTCCGCAGACACTGCATCAACTCATCAAACACGAATGGATCATTTGAAGCAACATGAAAAGCTTCAACTCCTGTTATACTGAGTTGACTATAGCGAGCACGCTGCTCTGCTCCTGTCCAACCCCAGCCAAACATGTCACTCTTTCGCTGTGCAGGCAGCCCACCTCTCGCAACTTTCGACACCCTCTTAAGGATGCAACACTTAGGTATTTTAGATATTTTCAGATGAACCAACACATACAGAATGTGTTTGCAAGGCAATTCTTTCCGAAGCATTCGTCCACAACTGCAGTCTATCGTATTTTCAGAGTTTTCAGCTCGATAATTCACGTTGAAATGAAATTTGCGGTTATTTCTCCATGTCACGATGAAGGTGTGGCAGTCAACTCCCACTAGCGTCTCAAAAATCTCAAGCTCTCCCATCTTCTTCAGATCTTGTTGAAGAATATAAAAGTTGGAATGAGTGAATACTTCGGCAGCATGCTTCTCAATATCCTTATATTCTGTGACTGATGGTGGCAATGACTGATTTGAAACACAGTCATCATGCGCCTCGTTCTCACGTAGTCGAACTATGCAATTCTCATAATGCACAACTAGGTCAACAATAGTCATACCGCCGTCCAGGTGAAGGTGAAGACAAGAGTTAAGGCTTTCACTTCTCTGATTACTGCGCATACCCAGAAAAAAACCATCTGACAGATATGATGCTGCCCACAGACTCCTCTTCCTGTACATCCTGCTCAGCCACTCTTCTATTTTATCAGTCTTCCATTTACAGACGAAAGCGTGCCATCTCGCCTCAAAGTTGGCTGGAGAGGTGGAGTAGTACAAGAGTGCCCTGAACTCATTTAGCGATTTGTAATTAAGGTGCTTCTGCATGTTTTTTTTTCACGTACCATGAGCAGAGACGGTGCAACACATCAACCAAAACCAACTGAATAGCTCGTATCATTGCAGCGTCTCCATCTGTGAGGATTGACCTTAGCTTTTTCTGACAATTGGCCCTCAGGAATGTCTGGAGCAGCCACACGTATGTCGCTTCGGTCTCGTCGGACACAATGGCACAACCAAAGACTGTGGTGCAACGGTGATTATTTACACCAACAAAGGGCATAAACGGCATACCATATCTGTTCATCTTATACGTGCTGTCGAACACAGTCACATCTCCATACAACTGATAGTCCCGCCGCGACTGTGCATCGCACCAGAACATGCTCTTCAAACGGCCCTCCTTATCGAGCACGTACTCAAAGAAAAAGTCTGGATCCTTCTCCTTTCTGCTCCTCATAATCCCGATTGCCGTGTTAGCATCACCCTTCGCAATCAACTTCATTTTTTCTCGGCAACATAGGTTGTACACGTCTCATCTCAGA